TTGTTTATAATGCAGGGCTGGCATCGATGGCTTTCCTTCATTTTGGCAGCGATTGCGAGACTGAAGGCGATTTGTCTCTCTCCCTGAGCCAGGTAGGGTTGGAGGTTATGGTTTAAAAAAGCTTCCCACTCCCAGAAAAAACCTGGCTTTTCCTGGATCAGCCCAGACTTACTTGCTCTACATGAAGGACCCCAGCTAGCATCCTCGGACAAGCAAAACTATTTCCCTGCACAAAGGCTGCCGTGGCCTTGCCCAAAGTTACTGCTTCAGCACTTGGTTCCTGTGACCCTTCCCTTATAATTCAGACTGCCTACAAACACTGTTCAAAGATCTCAACATGCCCCCGGACCCAGCCATCCCAGTGCCTGCAGGGACCTGCAATCTCACTCTAAATTATCTACCATTAAGCACACTATGGAAGGAGGGGGAAAGGGCTTTTGGTATAACGGACTTCGTCAGATGCCCCATGAAGACAGGCCTGCCCTTCTGCCCCCTTCACGGGTCTGGGCAGAATGGAGAGTTAAATGCATTTGTTCCCAGAATGCATCTGTGCAGTAGGACAGTTAGGCAAACTGAGGCAGGGAGATTATAATCCTGATCCTCACTGGTCTTCAAGCACCTAGTTTCTAATCTTGTGGGATGTCCATCACAGTTGGGCACCTCAGTACCTTTGGGGAATCTGAGCTGAGCAAGGATCCAATCCCAAAGAGCAGGGGCCTGGACAGCTGCCCAAAAGCAGCACAGTCCCCAGTTTATGCAAACTCTGGACCTGGCCAAAGACTAGACTCCGGTCATTCCCCCTTAACAAACACTCAAGGCAGGCCATGCTGGGGAAGACACCAAAATCCCCAGGACTGGGCTCCAAAGTTCTGCCTAGTGACCAACAGAAACAAAGGAGCCCAGTTCTCCTGACAAGGTTTGCAGTGGTCCCACACCACTGACTCTAAGGGGACTACCCTGGATTGATATCTGCCCCAGACTGCACCCAAGCCAGTGACTTTTGCAGGCCACTTTTCCTCTTTGCCCACAGTGCCAACGTGACTCAGTGAAGCTGCCCGGTTGCGGCCTGGCCCACTTCCTTTGCAAGCAGCGCGGATACTAGCAAGCTTTCTGCTGAAAGGAAACGGCAGTCACGCCTCCCTGCTTTCATCGACTACGTTGCAGTTAGCTGGCATCAGACAAGGAGCAAGCGATATTCCTACCTAGGCTGGTGACGACGGGGACAACAATGACGACGATGACACTGTGTACAGCCAAGCAAAAGCCCCAAAACGTGAGCATAGTGCAGTAGGAGATGCGTCCCAGCCAGGGTGCGGCAACTGATAGGATTCTTCACTCCAGGGCATCGTTCGAATGGAGACACCCCATCGTGCATGACCCTGCCTGCACAGACTTGCTTCCAGCTTGCCTTGGACGGGTGAGATTTTTCCAAAGCACTCGTGTGTCAGCTTCGCTCTCTCCTCACAGCAATGAGGACCCCAATGGATTTTGACAACAGCAGAATTTGCCTCATCCTGGCAATTTTCAGAAGCGCCCAGCTTTGGTCTGTTCATCAAGAGCACAGCTCTGTCTCCTCTGAAGGGAATCAGCACCACTTTGCTTTTTCACCGGGTCGTCTGTGCTTCAGCTGGGTTTATGTTAAAGAGATCAGAGGTGCTAGGAACTGCACCTTACCATCATGTTTTCTCCTACAGATTATACTAGCTGCAGTGAGCTCACGTGTGTTTTTTACCTGAAGATTTGACTTGGGAACACACCTGAAATAGATATGACCCAGCCTTTCAAAAGCAAACTGGCTGAATTCAGGTGCCTGGCCTGAGATCCATCCAGGGAACCTAATTTTCACAGGTACAGTGCACAGTATTACATGTGTGTGTGTGTGGGGGGGGGGAAGTGGGGGACAACACCTGGAAAAGGAAGTGAGCAAATATCCTGGGTCACTGTTGCAAACGTAAGCAAAACTTTTAACACAGAGACAAGGATAAACTTTTATGAAGTACTTGGCAAGTTGACTATAGCATGGTGGTGGTTTGGTTGAGAAAGGACCTTTATTTTGGTGGGTGCTGTACAAACAGCCATTTCAGGGCAAGAAATGGCTGTTTGTACAGCACCCACCAAAATAAGGATCCAAAGAACAGGAAAATGGGATTAGTCTTTGGAAACATTGCTGTAGGTCACAACAGTTGGATGTTTCATTGCATCTTGATCACTTGGAAAAAAAATGGAACTGGTAGATCATTTGGCTGGACAGCCGCTCCCAGCTCTTTTCAGCTTAATTCAAACATTAAATGTTGGGGCTAGAATCCACTTCCACCTAAGGAAGGTGATTCAGTGAGATCATACTTGCCCTATTCCATATGCAGTCTAGATGACAATTAGCCAAACAAGTGCAACACATCATGCCCAGAGATCACCCTTCCTCCTGTCCATACCATCAATGGGCACATCTAGGTTCTATTTTGATTGGATCAGGATGAAGCAGAAGACTGATGTAAAGTATTGCCTTTACTTATATTGCAGGGACAACTCTCAGACTTTACAGATAAGGTCTTTGGTGCCAACTAATTGGGCAGGGCAGAAAGCATGAACTAGTTAAGTCATTTACATGCACCAGGTTCAGTCAAAGCTTGCAGGTTGTTAGATCCACCTTTAAAATGTCACGGATGAGCTACCAAGCGATACCTGAGCAGCTGTTACTTGAAATGGGTGCGAGGGAAAAGGAAGAACATACACAGCCCAATGCAGCCATCTAGCGGAATCATGCAAAAATGCAGCTTCAAGTCTAAAACAGGCTAGGGGAGAATCCCCTACTGAATCAACAGGGTCTAGCACTTAGCCTTTTCATCATATGTGCTTTAAGACCCTCTGCTGAGGAAGGAAGTATCGCTGTCAGCGAAAATGGCTGCAGAGCTTGCATTTAGTAACAAGAAAAGGTTAATGGGATCAATGGGAATTTCTTCAGGCAACTGAGGGACATTCTCTGAAGACAAAAGGAGTGAACGAGCGACCCTTTGGGGAAGACGGGAATAACTGATTCATTAATAAGTGCTGGCAGGTTTCAAATGATTCATCTCCCAGAGCTGTAACAGTTGACACTTTTTTGCCCTGTGTCTTGGAACTCACACTGACATGAGTGAGAAAGAAGGGCCACAGCCCTGGGTAGCCCCATGGTAACTTAGAAATGGACTGATCCGAGATGAATTAAGAGTTCAATACAAAAGAGACTGGAGAATTCTTTGAAGGCAACCAGTTCCCTGATTAGCAATCACGCTTGCCCTGCAGCTTAATGACCTGTGAAAACAATGCTAGACCAGGAAACAGCTGCTCTTCGTTCGTTTCTTCCAGCAGGAGGGGCTGTAAAACATTTTGACAGCCCGAGACAGAGGTAATGCCTATTTCAACAAATAGCAATCCTTAAGTTACCTTGATTTTCAAGTATACTGTCAAAATAGAATTCCACAAAGACCTTGTAAACCAATTAACTGTAAACTGATTTTATTTATGGAAAATGGAATGCCTCATTAACAAACATACTTTAAATGGGGTATGAACAACACATTACAAAAACAAATGAGTTCACATTGTATTGAGCTATATAATATGGCAGCAGCTTAAAAAAATTACACTTATGGTAACCCACAAGTTACAGGTAATGGTAACCATGGGTAATAGAATTCACCTCTGTTGCCATCTCACATTAAAAAAAATGAAAACACATTCAGTAGTGATGGCTGAAATGGAAACTGTCGGGTCTGTTTGCTCTCTCCTCGCTGGCAAATCCTTCCTCTTGCATTCCTTCTCCATGTGTCATCTGGCCTTGGTTGCCACTTTAAATGAAACTGCCACGCCTACAAACAGATCCAGACATTTTAGTTTTTCATTGCAACTCGGGTTTT